CTGATTTACTAAACAAATCTTCAAACATCAACTTTTAAACAAACACACTCGATTCTTATGGTATGTGAAGAAAAATCCCACTTAGTAGATTAAGGGTTGGATGACTGAGAGAGTAGAGAAGTCGTAGTTACACCTAAATTAAACTCTAACAGGTGCACACGACTGGTCTGAAAAAGAATTTCTAATTATTTTATGCTATATTCAAGTACCGTTTCTTCACGAAGAACTCCTCCTTATAAGGCCCATACAGTAACTGTAGTGCCTGAACCTCACTGTTATGGGCGTAAGAACTGTACCGTCATGTGATAGAAGTGGAATAATAAGGTCGTGAGAAAAAAACTGTTACTTTTTACCAGCTAAATTACTTGCAACTACACAGCCATTTCGTCCTCCCTGATTGTAACACGCCAAAAAAATATATATATACAGTACTAAGAGATTTTTTCAGAGTTGTTTTGAAAGTTATACTACATTTGTTGAAATATGTACTTACTTTCTGTACACTGTGTCATTCGGAAATACTACAAATTTTCACCTTTAATCATTTTTTGCTTTAGGGCATGCAGCAGTACTACATTGTTTCTACAAATTCCTTGTCTAATGAATATTCAGAAGGCTGGGGCCCGTCTTTCGTTATATTTTAATTCTTACAAATTCCTGGTTTTGTAAGTAGCCCAAATTAAACGGACAAAAATTTATAGTGACAGTGACGTAATACCACACTAAAATATGGATGTTAAACGAAATATTAATTTTTATTTACCACTCTAACTGAAGAGGATACTGGCCAGTGAGGCAGGCTGTACAGTGACCGGTCGAATGATTCTCCTTCTCCAAATCTTTTGTTACAGCTTCGCAGAGACCATCGATGCTTAAATACTTAATTGAATCAGCTCCAAACTTGCCTTTGATTTCCTCAAGCGAGTGATTTGAAGCTATAAGTTCCTTTTTCGTTGGCATATTAATACCCATAAAACAGGGGTACTTGATAGGTGGCGAAGCTATGCGGACGTGAACCTGAAATTCACCATCAAAGTAGAAGTAAAAAAAAATTTTTTCTGGAAGCTAAGAGTGATAAAATTTAAAAACCTCTTTTGCCCCATTGGCCTTCAACATACTGACGATTATACCCATAGTGTTCCCCCGGACAACAGAATCATCGACCAAAATAATCCTTTTATTAAGCACATTTGAAGCGATAAGGGTAAACTTCCTCACGACAGCTGTCAAACGTAACTGATTATTGGGCTGTATAAAAGATCTTCCGACGTAAGAGTTCCTGTTTAGTACCAGTCGATACGGGATTCCAGACTAAACTTTATTTCGTACTATTTCAAAGGCGCAAAAGTGATTGCAGATTAGGAAGCATCAATGTGAATTACATTTACGATGAATACAGAACCGTTCAGCACACGTCTTTTATGTACTGGCAGCATAAAGAATAAATGATTTTACAACCTCCTGTGCATAACCTAAAGCAGCTGGAATTGCAGAGTCGGGAACTGCACTAACGATGTCTGCCTCAACACCAGTTTCTCGTGCAAGTAATCGGCCGCAGGTTTCCCGTACTGTGTGCACTTCTTGCCCTTAAAGATCATTTGTTTATTCGAAAGAAAGCACCAGAAAATAAGATTAAAGCTAATGTCGGAGCTGGTCAATGTTACAAAACTACCTAACAAACCATTGTTACGAGTTTAAAATTTGCTTACCTTCGAAAACAGAGCTCTCCCTTGCAAAGTAGATGTATTCGAATATACAAAATGCCGGAGTTATCGGTTTCATCTGAAATAAAGACCAACTTTTGAAGCAAAAGAATGCCTATGCTAAGAAACTTGCGGTAAAACTTAAAACACACCTGATGAATCCGTTTACAACCACCGCGGCTGATTTCAACAATCTCACCTGGCTTCAGTTCGAAACAAAACTCTCCATTCATCGGAAAAAGGGCACACGATTCCGACGCAGCTATGTAAGCATACGGCTTTTTTTCTGTAAAAAATGCACTAAAGATTAATTTCACACCTAACATAGCTGAAATAAACACTTGGTGTCGTATGCGTAAACTTAGAAGCAAGTTTTAGTTAGAGATAAATCATTGACCAAATCAGATGTCTTAAAAGCTGACCAGAATGGATCTTTGTGTACGTCATACCGATACACAGCGGTCGATTACCATAACGATCTCGAACTGCATAAATTCTGTCGGAGGTCATCACTAGCAGGGAATAGGAAAGCATCAAATGCGGTAAGGTTTTAACAAGTTCCTTAAAAATAGCTAACAGAAATCCTCTTCAGTAATAATCGTAGTTCTCAGAGCCTGTATGAAGCAAAGATGCTTTCACCTCAGCAATATCTCCAGCAGCTTTTTGTTTACGAGACTGCATATTCACAGCAATAGCCTTTCCAATACTTTGTGCTATCAATTCACTATCAGTATCGGTAGAAAGTCCGACACCACTTTCCAGCATCTAAAATAAGTCAAAATGCAAAGTACGAACTTTTAAAAGACCGAGTCGTACATAATCTAACCTTTTTTCTCTCAACAGGAGCGTGGGCTAGTTCACCATTATGAGAAATAGCAAGAAGTCCAGAAACAGTATGTACCACAAACGGTTGTATACAATTAGTGGCACTTTTTAGGCCCGTGGTTGAATACCTGTTGTGGCCAATCGTAGCCACAGCATCTAAGACGGTAAGATTTAAGCTAGCAGTATTAATTTTCTTCAAAAATTTTTACATTTCTATCACTAGTTTAAAAACTTCTTATCAACACCAAGAACAGACTCTGAAATTTGGCGATCTCTTCAGCTCTGTACACCTCTCTTACAAGACCCTTTCCTTTGACAATTTCAAACTGGTTATTGAGCACCCCATCCGTTCCAACAATGCCGGAGCTATCGGTACCCCTAAAACGAAACCAATTAATAAAGAATTTGTAAAATAACGAATTAATTTCTGTATTTATAGCCCTTTTCGTTCAATTGATAGCACTGAGAGTCATCGGTATAAAAAACAGGCCAGTGTTTAACCAAATTCATCCAACGTAAAGTCGTTAGCAAAAAATTGGATTCATTTTACTGGAGGAAGAATATATATATGTAATAAATCCAAAAATTCCTGGTACTATGCAGAGTTTAAATGTTTAAGATCTGACTCCAACCAAAGAAGAATAATTTTGTAAACCAACCTATGCTGTAGAGCTATAAGGCCTTCAATGGTTAAAGCTGCTAAACATCCATCTGGTTTTGCCCCATCACAAAGTACCAAGCCAATAATTCCACACATTTACCACTTGCTTTGATGCTATTGGAAAGAAACTTGTTTTGTTAAATTGAGAAGCGAGAAAATCTAGAAGGTCAGACGATAGAAATTTTAGCCATTCAACACTACAGTTTTGTATTTGTCAATAGGCCTGAGGTTGAAAATGACAGAAAAAATTTACCACTGATAAAGATTCATGATATGTGTCGAAAAGCGGTTTAACTAGGCAAAAAAATGGGGAATTCTGTGCTTATTAATGGTCTGAGTTCCTTTACCGCTTCCAGTAACTGACTATTTTAAAAATGATAAAAGTTCTGCGTTTCAACTATTCGTCTCTCATATCCTATTATTACGCCTTAATTGGTTTCGGTTGACAACGGCACACTTTATCAATAGAGGATCTGGTTTACATGATAATTACGAGTGAAAAAAAAGTGAAGGCAAAACCAGGATCCGATGTTACTATCTGTCGAAATGCTGTTGAACGAATAGAAAAAACGTTCTTGCAGTTTTAAATTATCAATCATTTCAAAAAATCAAATTTTTGTCATTCTCACTTATAATCCTTATTTGCAATCAAAAAAAACTTCCAACAGAAATATCACATAAAACAGCTGCAAATTGGATGCACAGACAAACTGCAATAAATGTAGCATGGCAACAAAAACTACGAGCAGTAGGGATTTACAAAGTAGATTATTTCAGAGATAAACGATTTTCAGAGCCGAAGAATTAGTAATCTCACGGCAAATTCTAGGTATACCACACTAGTTAAGATTTAGAGGGTTTGCATCACTTTAAAACTTTAACACCTATTTTTATTCCAACCTACTTTCTTTGCAGCGTTTATCGTTTGAAGGTCAAATTCTTTTACGTCATTTCTGAATAAGTAGAAACTTTATCCACTTTCACTGATAAATCTCATTAAAAAAACGTTTGAAACGACACTTTCTTAACCAGAAGTCCAGGTTTGCTGCAGCGAAAATCATATTTTTGTTGAGCATCAGAATTTTCTGTAATTTGATGTAGATTAAACAACAGCTTTGCTTCTTTTTTAATTGTCATTTGAAGTTAAAATTATCGATACTGGCATTATTTTTATAGATACTTTCTTTCAAACCAGTGGTTCTGACAATTCCTTCACAAAAAGATTTCAGTCGCTGTTTAATTAATCTGCTTCTAAAATCAAAACAGTTGACGTTAAAAATTGTTGTCATAGTTGTTTAAGTGATACTTAGTGAACCAACAGCTGGCACTCCCAACTAAAAGACCAGCTAATAAACTAACAGTTTATTAAACTAAATATCGGTTTATTAAAGAATTTTTCATTACTGGTATTTGAAAGCCATCATATGTGACTAGATTTAAACTAATACCGTATGTTCTCTAACAAAATACAGCTTGTATTTTACATGTTAAATCAGAAACGTAACTAGCGGGATGCAACTAATTAAAGTGCACTGTCAAATCACTTCTGATACAATAGCGATTCTTGAAATTTATATATGAAGGTTACAGAAGATTATATTCTAAAGTGCAGCAAAATATTTATGTCTAGTTTGAAGAAGAGAAATAGTCAGTATCACGTCTTAATATGGCAGTATATCATATTATAACAATGAGTATTAAAATGTACTAATAAAGTGTTAATTGATACTTATAGCGGAGTCTGGAAAACTTGTTAATCATTCTCACAGTTTTTCGTGAATATTGAAAAGAATTTTAAAAAACTTAAAA